GGTTTTATGGGGTCTTATGGGGTCCTATTGAGTATAATGGGGTCCTATGGGGTTTTATGGGGATTTATTGGTCTTCCGGGGTTTAATGGGGTCCTATAGGTCTTATGGGGTTTTATGGGGTTCTATGGGGCTTAATGGGGTCCTGTGGGGCTTAATGGGGTCCTATGGGGTTTTATGGGGTCTTTTGGGGTCTTACGGTGTTTAATGGGGTCTTATGGGATCCTATTGAGTTTAATGGGGTCTTTTTAGATCCTATTGAGTTTTATGGGGTCTTATGGGGTCCTATGGGGTCTTATGGGGTTTTATGGGGTCTTATGGGGTCTTCAGGGGTTTTATGGGGTCTTATGGTGTCTTACGGTGTTTAATGGGGTCTTAAAGGATCCTATTGAGTTTTATGGGGTCCTATGTGGTCCTATGGGGTCTTATGGGGTCCTATGGGGTTTTATGGGGTCCTATGGGGTCTTACGGTGTTTAATGGGGTCCTATGGGGTCTTATGGGGTCTTACGGTGTTTAATGGGTCTTATGGGATCCTATTAAGTTTTATGGGGTCTTATGGGGTCCTAAGGGGGCTTTATTGGGTTTTATGGGGTCTTATGGGGTTGTATGGGGGATTTATGAGGTTTTATGGCGTCTTATGGCGTCTTATGGGGTTTTATGGGGTCCTATGGGATCCTATGGTGTCTTAGGGGATCCTATGGGGTCGTTATGGGGTTTTATGGGGTCTTATGGGGTCAGAGACGGTTTGTAGGGTCCTTAAGGGATCCTATGGGGTCTTATGGGGTCCTTATGGGGTTTTATGGGGTCTTATGGGGTCTTATGGGGACAGAGGGGGTTTGTAGGGTCTTTATGGGGTCCTATGGGGTCCTTATGGGGTCAGAAGATGTTTGTAGGGTTTTTATGTGGTCCTATGTTGTTTTATGGGGTCAGAGATGTTTTATGGGGTCTTTATGGGGTCCTATGGGGTCAGAGAGGTTTTATAGGCTCCTTATGGGGTCTTATGGGGTCAGAGAGGGTTTATAGGCTCCTTATGGGGTCTTATGGGGTCAGAGAGGGTTTATAGGCTCCTTATGGGGACTTATGGGGTTCTATGGGGTCTTATGGGGTCTTATGGGGTCTTAGTGGAATTGCACCCAATTAATTTCAATGCCCCACATCTCCGCCTTGTGGCCAATTAGTGGAACTGCAGCCCATTGATTTCAATGAGCCGCAG